TTAAAAACAACCTTCACAACACTGAATATTACAAGGAACTACTGATTAATCACAAGATATCGTTCCATGAGTTCCATATTCAAAGCATCTCCACCGTCCCTCCTCCTCCTCCTCCCCCTCGTCTCCAGAGCCAAACACACTGGCTCTGGCTGAGTCTGGATCGTCCTGGCACTCGGCGCCGGTGGTTTGGCGTCGTGCCGGGGCCTGCTGTCTGTTACTCTGTTACATGGACGAGGACTTTGGTGAAGCTCCTGCACCTGTTTCTGTCTGTCCAGGGTCAAACACGGCGACGCTTCAGTTATGTTTATCTTTAAATACCGGCTCCTGAATGATTCTTTTTTTTTTTTTTAAGCGTAAATTAAAGGTTGTATAGAGGATTTTCCAAGGAACGAGAAATCCAGCGACTCAAATGTTGTGCATGCATGAAACCACCCCCCCTCCCCCACAGCTCCTACGTAGAAACGCCTCCTCCTTACGTCAGAAAGTACTTATCGCTGCACATGACTTGTAAACAACTAACTACAGTGTTGGTTAGGCAAGGCGGAGAAGTGAGGAGCGGGGGGAGGGGGGGCGCGGAGATTCTGTGCGCGGAAAAGAAGTGATGAGCAGGAGAAGAACAGAACGGGGAGCGGGGAGAGGAGCAGGACGGGGTGCAGAGAAGGGTGCGAATGAACAAGTTAGTACTACAACACGCAGCTGCAAGCGGACTCTTTCTTTGCATTGAAAATTACGTTTTCAGACATAGGATATCGCATTCGTGTCCTGAAAAACGTTTGTCTAGCTCTTGGAAATAAAATAAAGTACGTTTTCATAATAAGCAGAAGTTTCCTGTCCAGGAGTAATTTGTGGACCAGTGGTTCAGTCTTTAGACCCTTCGTCTGCTTCAGTCGCGCCATCGCTGGAATGAATCTACAAGAATCACCTTAGTTTGGCTTCGCTGCTTTTCCCCTTGTCTTCTTCTTTCAGCGACCTCAAAAACGGACTTTCTTTTGCGGCGAACTGCTCCTGGATTCTTGTCGCCATCGCAACAAACTTTGTGCGAACTGCGAGGAAGATATAGGTCAAAAAAAAGCCGCTAAGAACTGTTGCGTTGGTGGAGTAAACAGCGTCTGTGCGTCTTGCGTCTGTGGACTGCGTGACAGGCGTACGTAAACCACGTACCGGCGGCGCAGGCAAGTCAGTTACACTAGAAACGTAGGGAGTTTGATTGACAGCCTGTCAGCTCACAGATAACGAGGCAGTGTCGTTATCTATTGGCAAATGTTTAGCCCCACCACGTCCAGAGTTGATGAATTTTTATTCTCTTTTTTTTGGTCATCATAATTACAAGGCTACTGCATCTATAATCTATCATTGACAATTTGAAACAAAAAAGAAATCCTCCATACAACCTTTAATGGACAGTATTATTCAGAAAATATTTGTGATTCTTGAATTACAAATATAAAACTGTGTGAATTCAGATTTTAAAACATAAGGATTATATGATGTTCAGTTATTACACTCTGCTCCACCTTGTGATGTCATGTGGTGATTCTGTCAGATGCTTTTCTCCATGGAGATGTTATTGGTTTGTCTGGAAGGTTTCACAGTATGGCATTAAACCTTTCTATCTTCATGGATAGGGTGACCAGATTTTCAAAATAAAACACTGAGACGCTCTCGGTTTGTGGTGGTTGGTAAAAACAAAACTGTGAAACAACTGCGCAAGTAAGGAACATTTTTCTGCACAAATGTGAGTCAGTATCGTCGCGTTTTAGTCAAACATGTGAATGAAACAAAACACAACTCCAGGTCTGTTTTTGAGGAGGAAACTACATAAAAACATGACTTAAAGCCTTTAATAGTAAACGCTGCATATCAGTTGATTACCGTATTTTTCGGACTATAAGGCTGCGTTCAGCGTGCAAAAACCAGTCTAAATTTGTGTTCCAGTGTCGGCACAAAACAGGTCTACAGCATAGAGCGGATCTACAGAACAGACCTACTGCCACATTTGGCTGAAGTTTGTCTAACAAAAGTGACAAATGCATCTGTGTTTGTCACGATGTGCGTTTGGTTTGGTAAACGTGCAGAGGCTGGTAAATATCACTGCAAAACCAGAAAAGAATGAAACTCCAGTTTGGAACTTTAAAAAACAGGTTTAAAAATCTTCCTTCACTTTTTTCACAGTTTTGTGTAAAGTGCCAGAGGAAGTTCTCTTAAAGAAGAGGTTCTCAAACTGTGGGTGAGGGTCCAAAAAAGGGCCACAGAGTGTTTCAGTGCAGTTTGTTTGGCTTTGTATTAGGTCGATCATTTTGACTTGGTCATTTTGTAAGTAGCTCACATGATGAAAAAGTGTGAACACCCCCTGCAGTAGACTGACTGTATCTCTGTGTTCTAAGTCTCGTCTTTCTCCTCTGGTTCTCTTCATCTCCATGCAGCCCAGCGGCCAACACAATGGAAGAATTAGTATTTTTAGAAGCCTCTTGAGGATTCCCTTCAAACGGCTGCGCAAAGCTACAGGCAAACACACACCGAGTATTTTCATATTTGCAAACATTAAAAAAAATGAGAAAAAAAAAGCTGCACTGTGACTCCCGAGACGAGCATGTATCAGCATTAGTCTAATATCCACGAGGATGTTTGAGGAGCCGCACAATGCTGCAGAATCTGAGAATTAGACGAGTCTTTGAACTGACGGGAACAGGAGCCGGAGGAGCTGAGCCTCTTAGTCCTGCCCCGAGCTTCTTACCGTAAATAAATAAAGAAAAGAAACGGAAACACATCTGCGCCCGCGGAGATGCTGACCTCGGCGGTTCGGTGAAATGCCGGCGACGGGGAGCAGATGTGGGTCGTCTCGGAGGTGCCCGCACACGGAGGAGCATGGCACAGAGACAAACAGTGTGTGTGTGTGTGTGTGTGTGTGTGTGCACTGTGGAGACTCAAACACACACACTCTGTCATTTAGGGAGAATTAGCCTGGATTAGACTCAAACCTCCAGACTGAAGCTGCGTGGAGAGAATACACGAGCTGCCTGTCTGTTTTCGAGAAGCCTTTAAACGGAGAGGAGTTTGTAGCTCTGGATTTTAAGTAAAGAGACGCTGTGTCGCATAAACAAAGACGCACGAGAATCAGCTGGATCCACTTTTGACACACACAGATTTTATGACATCTAATTTTAAATATGACTCATCCTTAGTGACAAGATTTTCTTTCAGCTCAGTGTTTTACAGGGAGAAAATCAACATCTAAGACTACGTTTATAAGATGACGGTCTGAATAAAAGACGTAAAAGCGGCGTCGCGTCTTCACTTTTTATTCCGCGTTTAGTCGAGCGTTTTCTGGAGGAAATCTGTGTGCATACGGTGACGCCAAAGTGTGTGGAATTCAATCGTGCTAAAGCTTACCAAAGTGCTGAACAATATTTACAGTGAAATAAAACACACACTAAAACAAATCAAGCAGAATTATAATAATGAATAAAATAACAACTGATGTTTAAGTCGAGAGCTGGATTCAAACTGCCAACTTCAGATCGGTGGACAAACGCTCTACCAACCGAGCTTCTGTCGTCCTTAGATCTTATAAAAGTTGTAAAGTGTGAACAGAAGCTGAAGTAAATCCTACCGAGGCGTTTTAAAGCAGCAGCAGCGCGTCACAGCAGGTGTAAATGAGGATTCACGCGGAGCTAAAGGCACAAACACGAGGAGAAACATGAATCATCTCAGCGTATGGAGCGCCACGCCCCCAACACGGCCCTAACACGCCCCCAACGTGGCCCCAACATGCCTCCAACACAGACCCAACATGTCCACAACACACATCCAACACGGCCCTAACACACCAAGACACCCCCAACACGCCTCCAGCACGCCCCCATCATGCCTCCAACACAGGCCCCAACATGTCCACAACACACATCCAACACGGCCCTAACACACCCCAACACACCCCAACACGCCTCCAGCACGGCCCCAAAACTCCCCCAACATGCCTTCAACATGCCTCCAACACACCCCCAACACTCCCTCAACACGCCTCCAAGATGCCCCCAACACGCCTCCAACATTCCCCGAACACACCCCAACACACCTCCAAAACAGCCCTTAACACACTTCCAACACAGCCCCAATTTTCCCTCAACACACCTCCAACACACCTCCAACACACCTCAACAAACACCCAACACAGCCTCCAACACACCTCCAAACACCTCAACACACCCTCCAACACCACTCCAACACGCCTCCAACACACCTCCAACACACCTCCAACACAGCCTCCAACACCCAAAACAGCCCTCAACACACCTCCAACACACCTCCAACACAGCCCTCAACACACCTCCAACACACCTCCAACACACACCTCAACACACCTCCAACACACCTCCAACACAGCCCTCAACACACCTCCAACACACCTCCAACAGCCCTCAACACACCTCCAACACACCTCCAACACAGCCTCAACACACCCCAACACACCTCCAACACGCCTCCACAGCCTCACAGCCCTCCAACACACCTCCAACAGAGCCCCAACCTCAACACCCTCAACACAGGCCTCAACACACCTCAACACACCTCCAACACAGCCCCAATGTGCCTCCAACACAACACAGCCCTCAACACCCTCCAACACACCTCAACACACCTCCAACACACCTCCACAGCTCCAACACATGCCTCCAAGCCTCCAACAGAGCCCTCAACACATCCCTCGACACGCCTCCAAGATGCCTCCAACACAGTCCCAACACACCTCCAACATTCCCCGAACACACCCCCAACACACCCAACACAGCCCTCAACACACCCCCAACACAGCCCCGATTTTCCCTCAACACACCTCCAACACAGCCCCAATTTTCCCTCAACACACCTCCAACACAGCCCCAACATGCCCCAAAACTCTCCCAACACGCCTCCAACACACCTGCAACATGCCCCTAACACAGCCCCAACATTCCCCCGACACTCCCCCATCACGCCTCCTCCCGCGGTCGAGTCCGTAC